TAGTTCAATAAAAAAACAAATTAAATTTTGGATAAATTAACATTTACTAAGACTTATCTATAATATTTCATTTAGTTTTAGCGACCAAGTAGTAACATAGAAAGTATTTTACTGCCTAATATTGTATTATTCTATAGCAATGGCGAATAAATAATAAAAACTTATTTTGCACAATATCTGTTTAAGATTCATGAAAACGTATAATTTATAGTTAGGTATCTTACAATTTATATACAGGGTGAAATAGAAAAACCTGGCAAATAAAAAATTCGAAATTGATACAAGTTAAATTTATGAAAAAAATTATGAAAATTATATGGATAATAAATAATTAAACATCATCTAAGAATTCTCAAGAAAAATATTTTGAAAAAAGTAATTACCGTTTCGAGCTAATTTACGTAAAAAAGTATAAATAGTTTAAAAAGTTGTAAAAACAAAACTACCCAACTTAATTAAACATTTTTACCATCCGAATTTTTCTAAAAATTAGATTTACAAATTGACTATTTTGAATTTTTCCAAAAAAATTGTAATAATATGTAGGTTTTTTATTTTCTGACTATTAAAAAACTAAAATAAACAATTTTATACCGTAAGTATCTATAAATTTTATAAAAAAAGTTTTTTAGTATTGAATAGAACAAAAGTTATTTTATTTGTCAGGTCATTCTGTTACGCGACTTATATGCTAGAATATGGACAATTATTTTTATTGTTATCAATGTAATACAAATAATACACCTATAGCTCACAACATCCGATGAAGCTTCATATTTCGCGAATATGTAGGAAATTACAAAATAACATAAAATAATGGCAAAAAAGGATTAACACTAAAATCTTTTGTTTGAAAAATATTCTATTGACTGTTAGTATAAATACTAAAGAAATACAAATATAATCATTGACTGAAAAATAAAGTCACCATTCTGTAGTTTTTTTCGAAGTACCTCAGTACACGCATTTGTAAGAAAAGGTAATGTACACAATACGCTATATTTAAAACTGATTTTGATTTAAAGTTTACATGGGTAGAAAACGGTTAATCGACACGATTGTGAGTCGATGTGACTACCTTTCTTCATTAATTATAAGTTAATAAATGACGACGTTTTTAATTTGTTATTTATTAAATCGTGGTAAGTTGATGCAGATCCGGACTTAATAGTCTCGGAGTCCCTAGGCAGTTACCGAAGTAGGGACCCTCTTTGTTATTTTATCAAAAAATAAAATAAAATAAAAATCCAATTTCTTTTATTAACTAACATATTTGATTTATAAAAAAAGGTGTATGAAATTTGGAAAACAGTCTATAATTACCTAAGTTTTCTAATTTTGTTCGAACAAAATGCAAGAAACAATGAAACAGTATCAAGCATTAGCGGATGCTGCCTGTCGGTTGCCAACTATTCGTTTATAGACTATATAATATAACCATAGACTTTATACTAGCTACTACTTATAAAACGTCTATGAATATAATCATGATATACACAAGTTGTCTGCAACCCATTTTTACGGTGGGCCAAACCTGTGAGAAGCTTCGGCATTGGAGACCAAATTTTTTTTGTTTAGTGGTAGATAAGTAATGAAATTGTGGATATATAAGACTTATTTTTAGTAATTAATTAAATTTAAAACATTAAAAACTAGTATATTTTTAAAATAAATAGCTTTGAGGACCATAGGTCGGAGACCCCATTTGATATAAATAACAAGGTATGATCGTACCTTCTTGACAGTCAGACTTACTTCAAAAAACCAACATATTGTGAGGTAGATAATCTTGAAGAATATATCCACTCCATCGAAATGGATTTGAGTTGAAACATTGATGTGGAGTTTCATCTCATCGAAAAAATTGGGAGTACCTTAATGGTTGAGTTTATAAGCTAAGAAAACAAGAGAGGGCAGACACATAAAAGAACCAATCAGTAAGATATAACATAAGGAGAGAGAAAGGTCATTCATACTAATCAAAGAATGATCAACTTAATAGAAAACATTTGATATATCTATATGAACTGTGTTAACTTGGTTGTATTCATAAAAATATTTATATAATTTAGTATTTAGGTAGCTTTAATTCACCTGATTCCTATTAAATAATTTATTTTGGTTTGACATAATTTTGAAATGTGTTTAGTCCCTGCATGAGCGATTTAGTATATTTGAGCACATCAATTTAGGATTTGTCTCATTCTCAACTTAAATCTTAGCAGGTATCATTATATTTCTAGTGATTTTAAAATTAAAATAGAAAAAATTTAAATGTAAGATTCATAATGAATTTTAATAGAAAACAACCTATTTGAAGGAGCAATAAAAAAAAATCAAATTATATGTTATGATTTTGGCAGGCACAATAGACATATAACTTTATAATAATAAATTATTTATTAATTTATAATAAATGTACAGTTTAAAAACACAATTTTCTATGTTGTACATTTTTAAGACAGAGACTACAGATGCATGTCCTCTTAAGTACAAATTCTATAATTATTTTCGAAATTTGTTACGTCTATTTTTAGAATAATATTATGTAATACACGTAATAAGTATATTTTAATAGTAATGTTTTGTGCAAATTCCGTTTTCCGGAAGTAACTTATAAATCACTTAAGCCATTTTTGTATGTAATTTAGTATGATTAAAATTGAAATACTTACATAGAAATATATATCCTTTGAACAGTGGTCAAAAGATAATACATTGCAGTGTTCGCTGGATTAACTGCATGACTCTAAATTAAAGTTGTTATACAACATAAGTAATAGGTATATATACATGCATACATACATACATATAGTAACATACATACAGGTGGTAATTACTACGCGCCGTTCATTGTTTTTAGTACCTACCTTTAGTAAATTCAAATCATCATGCCATTTGCGATACCGGTGTAGTGTTGTTGTCCGACAAAAGGAGAACGGTTGTACTATCACACTAATTAAATTTCTTGGCTGGTTTTCAAACAAATAGGTACTTACATGTTATAACTCCACGGAGATAATGATAACTAGAATACCTGTTGCATGTTGATGCGGTAAACCACACAATGTACATTGTACAGTCATCTTCGATTACCATCGATTATTTAATGTAGAAAAAAATACTTTCAAAATCATTAACGAGTAACTTTCAATAATGAACAATCCGTTAATATTATGAATTACGATACTCGTAACAAGGGCTAAAATAGTAAAATGTATGGGCATAGATATTTTATATGTTTTTTTGCTCAGAGTCTTTTTACAAGCTTGGTTGGTAATTTCCACATATTTATACAAACAATCTACTTTTTATATTGAATAATTTTGCTTAATATTTAATGTGTAGGTATAATGCATATTATTGCATATTCTAGCTACAAACACGATGTACCCATGATTTGTGGAATGTCCAGTTAAGTTACACTGATAATTTGGACTCGATAAAATCATTGATTTTGGAAAAATGATGTAGATTTATTTGAGGGTAAAAATAACAAAAATAATTTAGCTTATATAAAAAAAAGTATCTTCAGCTTTCTGATTTCTCACAGAATCTATTTTGAAATTAAAAGTTGCCTCACTTTCACTTATAACAATAGTTTGGATATTATTAAAAGGTAATTTGAGTGTATATTTTATCATAATATTTTAGCATATTTCAAAAACAATAAATGCATATTACATTTAAATTCTGGTGATACTCGCAATAATTTGATATTTTTTAGGTACCTAACAACCTTTTGACATATATTTTTGTTGATAAAATGTAGGTAATTAGTAACGTACTTAAAAGAAAACCTACAAAATATTGTTGATACATTTTTTTCGAATCTTTGATCAACATCAACATTTTGATTTCTGTATGGTTAGCAAATGATTGTAACATGTTTGATATTCTAGTATCAAAGTTAAGTAATTTATGGTAATATTATTAAATATTCTATTGCTTAACGTTGATTCATTAGAGTTATTCATACACTAAGTTTAACCGTATTTATTCGCTCAAACATTGAGAATCATTTGAATAGAATGAAATTACTTTGAATAACTTACCTTATATAACATTAAATAAAATAAATAGTTAAGTAATCAATAGTACATTGCATTAAATATTTATAAACCAATAATATTATTATTAATCAACGTACTCAATTAATTTTCATTCTTCGACTACAGAATATTATCAAAACATTCAAAATTAATGTATGTACACGATAACCACTTGTATATTATATTTTGTGTTTAAAAAAAATTCAGACTGAAATATAGAGAATTATGTGTAACTGATATTGAATATAATCGTATTCTACGGAGTGGCGTTCAACACCTGTAAGAAAAACGAAAAAACTTATTTCCGAGCCAAGTAACCATTCGTATCATTACAACCGTTTTTACGGAACTAAAGCGTATTTTAACACAGTGTAGTACTGTTGAGCACCAATATCATCATCCTACAATAATTGTTGAATGGATCACGGGTGAGTTTAATTTGAAGTTATAGTAAATAAATATAAGTTTTTCACATTAAATATTTTTAGGTATTTATACTGTCCATAGCATGCAGTTGCTCATAATAATATAAACTCTGCAATATCTCGTCTTAAAGTGTCCCTCTTTTCGGTCCTATTTATATTTATAACAACTTATTGTATCAACCCCTCTAATAATTATACGAAAACTGATATCGGAACATCGGTGCATCCACTACGCATCCGGATATCACCACAATTTGGCCAATCATTCTGTATAACAATCATCGAATAACAATATTTTTACATACAATTGTGCATTTATATTATAGGTACGATGCAACTGCAATATAATACGGATAAAGTTTTTTTATAGAATTATTATATTCGATTAGGACTATTGTTTACCCATACATGTTTACTGTTTGATCCTCATACTTTGTAACAGTAAAACCAGGGGGGGGGCGCAAGTCCGGATAGCGCTGCGGCGGCATGTAGTAAGTAGGGATAAGAGTACGAGCGGCGCGCTCACAGTAGTCACGTGTATTACCGTCCCGACGCACCCTCGTCGGACGCTCAAGGGTTGTTCTGCCGGTAAAGTTCGTCTCTCGCGCCAAGTTGTTTCGAGGTGACAAATAATTTTTACTCCTTTTCTAACCATATCGTATTTCAATAAAGAAATATTATAAAAATAAACATATATTTTGTATACGATAAACTATGAAAAACGCCCGGTAAATGTTCAGCCGTCGAAGTCCTGGTTCATCTATGAAAAACACATACAAATCAGGTATGACACATTATTACAAGTACTAACGTACTTATAAATAATAATAATAATAAAGATTAAGTTCGACACATCTCGCAAACGAGGGGACATTTTTTGAGAGAATATTTCGATATAGTCAGTCATCTTGTTAGTGAACGTTTGCAGCATATACATACCACTAATGTGAACTGGCCTGCGCTCTGCCATACGTCAGCCGTTTGTCTGATATAGAAAACGCTTCAAAATAACGATGTCTCCAATATCACTAGTGGTGGACGCTCATAGTTCTTTTCAAAGAGATTTTCCCAAAGTTCAGCGAGACCTTTTGTACGGCCACAACTTTATCTATTTTTCCCATTTTATAGATACAATGCAATAGTGTTTTGAGACCCGGAGGAAATAATATACAATTGGTGATACTGTAGTTGGTCACAAAACAATCTAAAAACTTATCTTTGTACAGTGCAATTCAATGATGAGAGGATCCCTATTTCCTTTTAGTTAAATCAATTTTAAATTTTAAAAAACCAATACCAAAAAGCACGAAAGTACATTTTTTTTATTTCACATTCTAACCGTATAATAAAAACAACATTTTCAGATAACATAAATCAAGAACTAAAGATTATACTTCTTTAAACTTTTTTGCTGTAATCAAATCCATGACCTTTAATATTAATGTCGAAACACATACCACAATTAAATTAGTGTTTATTTTTTAATTTCTAACATTAGATAAATTAAATAAGATACTCTATAGTAATCTGGATATACATTTTTGTGAAAAAGTAGTTAATTATTTCAATAAAGTAAAAATAGTAATGCTTAATAAAATAAGATACGTATGTTTCAGACGAACTGCCACCGCATAATTTAGTCGCACCGTTTAAATAACTTTATAAACAAAAGTTTAAATTACACGTGGGGAAGATATAAAGACCTGCTTGTAATCCTGAATAACAGGTGAGGGTTACAAAAATAAAAAAAGGTAGACTACTTAATATTTTTATTGGACTCTAGCGTAAAAAAAGTTTTTGTTTTTAATTCTTGACCGTCGTTATCCGCTAGTGCTAGTGCGGTTAGTACCTATTCCAGCCAGCATAGTTCTCCGAATTAATTTATGCACCCCAAACACAGGACCGAATCGCAAAGGGCAGGATTTTTAATGAAGGTTTTTTTTTTTAATTTCATCAACACCGAGTTTTCCATCATACAGCGTTAGGTAGGTGCTGACCGTGCCACACGGACCCGATGAAGCTGTAAAAGTTACGAAGTCAATGCTTAGTTTAATTTCATAACAGAACACGATTCATAAACGTTTCAGGAAACATACTTTGACTTATATATGCACATTGTATACATACATGATAATATAACCGGGGTATTTGTAGATGGTTTGGAAAGTTTGATCACAACTTCTGACTCGAACACGCCCTCGAGGATAGGAGTATAGGACACATTGTAAATCGGAGTTCTTGCCTAAATAAAAGGACAATAATCTTTTCTCTGTTAAGCTACATTATTCATAAGAATAGGTACAACACGATTTATCGTGAATAAATTAATTTCAAGTTGAAGTTTTATTGTATCAACTTACGGTAAGCACTATATAATTATAAATTGAGTTATGCTGTGATACATTTGATATTTGAACAAAAACAAACCTACATTATTTAAGCATTGTTATACAACATAACAAGATATTAATTTATTGGTTTTGTGATTTCACAATCACGAAAATTAACATATTTTTTTGACATCATTATCTGATTATATAGATAATAATATAATAACATCTTTAACGATACTTAATATTATTCACAAATATAATATAATTGTCATTCAAATTTAGCTCAAGATTCTTTGGGTATTTAGTTTTGCATACTTAAAAATTATTGAGAAATTCGTAATACTACTTCCTATGCATAATTGCATATATTATTATTTATTTATTTTTAAATACTATGGTTTAGGTACCTAACCTAAAAAAAACCATAAACCGTTGAAGTGCATGAATTCGCAATTATTTTTATATTTACCACTCTTGCGTGCAATTAAATGATTGAAGTTTATACATATTTTACGTCAATTTTCTTGCATAATTTTAAATTACTCATAGTGCATTAAAGTTTTCATAATCGATATCATATTAGTATCCGCTCTACAACAAACATAAAATAAAATAAAACGTTCTAAATATAATTTGATACAAATAAAATGTGTGTCAATAAAATTTTCAGGTAGTTTGGTTGGAAATTTATCTACATTTTATGTATATGTATGCCTTCTAGTTTAAGTAAATTAAGTTCGACTATAATATATATGGAAATTTTCACCGTTGTGCATACTACTTGGAATTTACTCTCATTTTTGGGTAAATTAAATTCACCTATATAATAAATTATGCACTGTATAAAAAGCTATATATATATACTTTAGTTGGACCATGTAAATTGTCACCCATTTATCACAGTGTATAACATAAAGTTTCAACTACGTTAATAACTATGTACACCGCTATATCTATTATATGTGTGCTCGTCCAGGGTGGTTTTTTAATATTTACCTAAATATTAATGAATATATATGAATTTAAACAAATAGATAATTGTTGTATTTTAGGTAATATGAACGTGCAATATATCATTATGTCCTGTAACAATAATATATCACAGGGACTCGAAGTTTAAAATGTAAACATAATAGATATTTTGCGTACATACTTGCAGAGAGTTCAATACTTTAAACTATACGTTCAAATATAAAGACATTTTTCAAATGATTATTTTTAATATAACTGCAGTGCTGCAGAGAACATAATATCACAATAACGAGGGAATATTTTTGGTGGTTTAATATCTATAGATGTTGAGTTTATGTAAAATGTATACATATATATATAATATTATAAGTGAGAATAACTACAGCAATACAACCGACTAAAAGTTTTCTATTTTCATCTAAAAAATTCCATGAGCCCGGCTGGGTTTATGCGAACATGTGGTACGACGTTGATAAAAACGGGACCGACACAATAGACCACATTACCGTTTCGTGGTAATGAAATAAAACTTTCGGCGGGTGGCAACAGTTGAACAGTGTTGTATCTAGATATGAAAAAATGTATCTTTTTAATAATTTACTTAGTTTCATCAACTCATCTAGATAAATGCAATTAAGTTGTCCATCAATATTAGCAGTCATTTTGATTAATTTATTATTTCTTTTCATTATAAATATTAAATCAGGTATATTTTCAAATACAATATTATTAGTCATTAGGTACACCTTTTCCGATGGGTAATAAATGTTTCTATTTCATTGTTTTTATAGTTGATGACTTAAGAAATACAATATTTTTTTAGATTTATTAATATTAAAAATATTCATTAATTATTAATGATGATTGATGAATGGCAATTGGTTTTGTTTGTGTATGTTATGTATAAAATATAAATAGTACATTTAAGAAATAAACTGCTACAAGAATTGAAAAAAATATTTCTTGAAATAGGTGTTTTACAAATTTATGTACCTAGGTATATATTTAATTAAATAAATGAAAAATTACTTATGTTCCGCATACACATACTCGTGTGCGTGATTGTTCGTTTAAAAATAACATATTCGTTCTTGTTCAAATTTTAAAAAAATAAAAAATGTTGGGTGAAAAAATATTTCAATTATATCTTTTTTGACTTCATCTAGGTGGATGAAAATAGAATTTTAATATTTATCTCTTATTTTAAGTACACTACCATAAAGTCCTAGGAAAAAAGTCCGAGTAAAAAAATCCAGTACATATAATTATAGGTAAAAGAAAAAATATGATGTGATTCACAATCAAACTTCCAATTAATATTAATATAAATTATAACTAAATGATTACCTAATAGATACCCGACGAAATTAATAAGTAATCTTGTAGATACCAATATCGGCAAAATATTTACAAAATATATCGGTTCAATATTTTATTTTAAATATTGTTATAGGTACATATATACCGGAATGTTTTTAGTTAAGATAGTTAACTAGATAGTTAATACTTAATTAAGCTGATAAATCATTATAATATATTGTATGTATATGACGGTAATGATACTATAATAATACCTAATTATAATCATTCAAATTTTTTTTTTAAATTTATTATTTTAAATGTTGTTACATAGGTATATATATACCAGACCTATCTACTTCGGACTCTTTATGTCTCGGGCTTTTTTGTCCTGACTTTTTTCCTAGGTCTTTTTTACCGCGATTCCTAATTCTAATATCCACAATATACCTAGATTTTTTTAAGAAATTACCTCTATCTGTATCTAGGTATTGTTTGTATAGTCTGACGTCAACACCGATGACTTTGGGGACGATAATACACCTACGTGCCCATGTGTCACGGGGTTAAAGCCAAAAGGGTAGAATGTCAAACCTGGTGGGAATTCTAAAGAGGGGCGGAGTCGATTTGTGTATGGGATCGAAGTGCACCTATCTATATATACGGTCAAACCTGCAGATTTGGGCATTTGTCAGTATTGTGGGAGACACGTTCGTGTCGGTACAGGTCATCGTCGAGACAATTGTCTCGGCGGCGTCGTGGAGGTTAATGTCAAAGCCACGCCAAAGGGATATCCACCTACATTATAGTGTTTATTAATCACGTGACAGCAACTAGATGGTGGGGGAGGAAGTGGCGGCGGCTCGTGTCAGCGTCCAAAGCGCATTTTGGCACCACGGCGGTGTCGTTAATCAATTCGCAGATAGGCAGAACAATTCGCACGGCCAATCATCGGACCACCCATTCGACAGCCATTAATCACGAATCGATAACACAATAATATGTTCGGTAAAACAGCTAGCCGATGAAAAGTTTCCTCTCCCCGTCTTTGGCCTATAATACGATTTCATTCGCAGTGCCTACCTACACGATACCCCTACTTTTCCAGCGTGTCAGACGTTTAATGTTTGTACAAAATGTTTCAAAAAGGAGTACGTTGGCCGGATAAAATATAGTGTTTCTAATTGAAGACATGTTTGACATGTTTACATTGAGCATCTTCTCGGATTAGTTTTCATGTCCCGACATAATTATTTTTGTGTTTAATGTTAATCGAAAAATGCACTTAACCACTTGGGACAAGCGCCTGAAACGTTTTGTGAACAGCAAATACCTAGATGCGAAAAGCTGAAACACGACTTTTTGAAGGTGCGCTTTCAACATGCTGATTTTAACGAAGGATTTTTATCGATCTATAACTGTTTAGTAAAAAAATATATTGGACTATTTAGTGATCAATGAATAGATAACACTTTTAATCACTTGTTTAATAAAGTATAAATTATCACATTAAATGACTAAATCATTAATGCCTCCCTTACAGGCATAATAAAACTTGACATACGTACAATCGAGGCCACAATAACTGATAAATTTAGCTGTCAAAACATGTTTCTATATTTTATCATCGGTATAATGACTCGTAGAATAATAATGGTAGTAAAACAACATTTTTTTTTTCAATAGACAGGGTTGAACTTTTTTTTGATTTTATCGAATTGTTTCATTGTACATTTTATTATTTTATATTTTTAATTGAAAACATGATGATTTTAAACATAATAATATTACAGAATGTGAAAAACATTAAAAAGTTCTGTACAACACAACTCGCAAAATAATGATCACAAATGAAAAACATTTTTGAACATGTCTTAAACCATATTTGAGATTACTGAATATTCATAATAATAAATGGTGTATACTCCGACTCGTACATACTGCCAAGATACCATATTAAATATATTTTAAAGAAAATATATTATTTCATCGTCTTTAAATTCTTCAGATTTCATTTTTCTTAATATTTCCAACAATTTTCAATTAATAAGTAATAATGAGTAAAAAATTTAAATAGCATAAAAATACTAATAACCACATGATTTGTTCTATTCCGTCCATA